TATTGTGTATTCTGTTCATCTTTCAGTAGACACGAGTTATTAAAGTTAAAATACTTGTTCATCTCAAACCTTTGATCCATAACAGTGATGAGCATCTTATTTCTCCTTACGGTATCACCTCTGAGTCCAACATTAAGGTCATACGCAGAATAAGGGAAATGATCGCCAACGAAAGAAGCTCCTGATTGTTTGCAAAATTCTCCTTGCTAATACCAAAGAAAATGTGCAGATAAAAGTGTGGAGAATATGTATACTGATGTTTGGATGTAAATAGCTTATAGTTAATTCTCTAGTTTTCCTCTTTTGGACTTTCAGATTGTGGACATACTCGTAAAACTTTTGTCTCCTCGCCAAGAGAACGATGAGAAACAAGAAATTGCGGAAGATCTCAGAGAGACTATTGAACGACATGATGAACAGTAAGTTGGCTTATGAAAACTCTTACGCATCGGAAGAACTCATATTAAGACAGACGACCGTTGTGTAAAATTCTGCCTAAAAAGCGATTGCATGCACCCGAAGTCATGAAGTTACCTTTGCACTCCTTTTGTGTTTTGCTAGGTTGAGAGAAATAACTTCATCTATAAAGAAGCAAAGCGCATTACTTGAAGAACTTCGGGACATCTTCATGGATAAAAAGCGAAGACCTAAGCGGGAAGAGCCAGCAGAACAGTATCCAGACGGAACTGAATTTTACGTCTAATTGCTTACTACGTGGATCCGGAGTATGATTGAGTGCAATATAACCGCTGCTACATGGCATGGCGGACAGGCAGCCTATTTGCGAGACCTCTTCCCGACGCCATTTTTTTTCCACTGTAAGGTATCTGTTGGGAAGTAGGTGCATTACTCAAGGTGGCAGGCACACCGTTACAGCAGTAAACGCAACATATGACAACAAAATAAACGATGGCCGCTTCTGAAAAGCCTACGATGAACACTCACGGAGGTTTCGAGAAGACTTTCTTTGTGAGCTTTAAGGCTCAATTAAACTGCAAAGTTCTCGAATAAGCTGGCAGACTAAGCCAATTAGCGAAAGATAATTAGCTTAAACTTAAAAGAAAGCTTGACAGCTTCAAGGGAAATTAAACACGACAACAGAATATATGTTCACGGCATAGTTCGTGGGATGAGTCATAATCAGTTGAGTACTAGAACCAGTGAAAATGATCCTCGTCCTTCGGAGTTTTACGTTCCACGAGTCAATTTCAAATTAGACCGATAGATAATTATATAACCGTAAGAAAGGCTCATTACTATATTGTACAAAAGAGGGGCTTGCAACGGCACTTTTTTTTACTTCAAAATGACGACGAGCAATTTTTAATTACGATGAAATCGTCTTCACCAACTTCAAACGAGGAGAGTGACAATTTACATTTATCAATTACCTAATTTGTTAGTAAAGTTTGATATTTGAAAACATATAGGTTTTTGGCAGGACCATATCAATTATTAACAATGTTTTTCTAATGAATTACCCTATCGAGAAGGTAAGGAAAGATAGTTTAAATGTTTTAGAAGACCAAACCCAGGTTTTCAATGACTCTCCCTGTCGTGAGGGCAAGGAAGGACAATTTATATTTTTTGGAAACGAAACGATTTTATTATTTTCCAATTTACCTTCGCAGTTACTGAGCGCTTTGTCTACTGCATTTTAGCTGTCTCTTGTTTTATCACGTTCCCGTGCTGACACTACAGTTGTCAATGAGAAACTGAGATTAGAAAACAATACGTTTTTGTGTTTGAAAATATGTAATTTAGTTAAGCTTTTCAAAAGAGCACTTTGTTTTAGTTAATAGGATTAAACTCTAATGAGAAAACAAAAAATCAAGCAGACAGACCGTCGTCACATCTTGTTGGTTACGTCTTTATTTTTCGTGGGACAGGGGGAAAAGGGCGAGCTTAATTCAGTACAGTGGAGGAGAGGCAAGGAAGACAGTTTGAAAGGGAAGTCTAGAAACTATCTCTAAAACAGAGAGTAACAGATACAGAAAGTCTCTCAGAGGACGACAATTTTTAGCTTTCAATCAAAGAAATTTATGTTGTGTCTGGAGCCATTGTAGTCGGTCTTCTCTCACTCTGTAAGATACCAATGAAACTGTGCAAATTTTAGTATTCAGCCCCCCTGCCGTGGAGCAATTAACGTAATCCGGGTAATGGAAAACCTAAAATCACTTGTAAATTACTACGTTATCAATTACCGCAAAGCTGAAAACTGTGAAGCCACTTACAGCTGATTTCCCGTAAAATTAGCGAGAAACAATCAATTTGGACATCTTTCATTCTTGCGATTTCAAGGAGGTCTTCTTGAAGAGAATCTCAATTCATTTTTCCAGTTTTTCTTTTGCTGAATATGAGCCAATCTGTAGAGAGAAGGCGGGCGTCCTCGCTGATTGTGCAGTTAACAGCAACACAAGAGATCATGGGTCTACCAGGACGAGCTGGAGATTACCAAAGACGTAGCCGCGGGTTAAGTCTAGATTCGAAGCTAGAACATGTTTCCCAACAGAACTTACTTTCTTCTGTTGACAATAAATTGCTTATTCAAGAAGTTAAATTTCGTCTTATCTCGTTTGAAGTAGAAGACCGAAAGAAGAGACATGGTTCTGTGAGAGATTTGGTGAAGGTTTTTGATAATGAGCAGCTTGAGGAAGGACCTCTGAACAAAGAAGAATGCGGCTCGCTTCGCGTTCTTCTCAGACAATTTACGTTCGAAGACCTGTGCGAGGAATTGCGAAAAAGGCTAGAACCCGATGATATCTCTCGTCAGACTGAGTCTTACGATTCACAAGACAGAAGATATTCACAAAGTTTGCGCAGAATTTTGTTTCAAAAAGGTTCTCGAAGCCTTAGTAAGGGTTCGTTTGGCAAAGAGAACTCTCTACTTGACATTCCTGAGATAGAGTTGCCCTTAGACCAAGGAGATTCATCTGTAATTGCTCATAAGTGTAAACCTGAAATGCCCCAGGATAACCACAGTTTACAGCTTCCATCAGCGGAAAGCAAAATATCTTTTGAGCCCAAGTTGCAAAAAGGAGCCCCTGTTTTTAAATCAAAAGAAGAAGTCGAAGAAGAAATGTTTATGGATGTTTTGGATGATATTTTTGCTCTAAAGCAGACAATGTGGAATGCCGCAAAAGATATCGAAGCATTATCTGCAAAAATGACAAAGGTGCGAGGTGAGTTGGCAATACTGCGACAAACGAGGACGGCTTACACGAGACCTGACAAGTTTTTTAGTAACGGGGAAACGACTTCTTTGCCGCTGTAATGTTGAAATAATGAAATGGCATCGCTACAGGTGAACATGGAGATTTCACTGCACGATTTCAGCACAGTATGAAATTCCGGAAGTGAGAAAGCAATAAAGTTTCGCGAGCTTAGGGAAACAAAATATGACAATTACTGCAAATTCAGATTGAAGTGGCACACTATTCTGGTACAAAAACAAACTGATAGTTTTCTCTATTCTCCTTTTGCATGTTTAATATAGCAGGATCAATTTTTAAATATGATGAGCACACTTTAGTTGTTGGGCCTTAAATAAGGATCAACCGTGTGAAATAAACACTCAAAATCACGAATCGAGAAGTGCAGAACCTGCATGAGGAACTTTCAGGAAGGACGAATGTGAAAAGATGACTTTTCATAACAACTGTATGATCGACTCAACTACTGCCAAATTTGACTTGTAATTGGTATCGATACAATAAATGGCGATATTCCACTGAATTCCATTTTCCCAGTAAAAACATTACAGCAGAAGGCACTACTCACTTGTGTGGTATATACTAATACAAGATATTTTGGGGTGCTGAGACTGCAAAAACTGCCTGCTTTGAGTATATAACCCTTACAAGCCGGGAGCCCATTACTGGGATCTTGAGAAGCCGATTTGTTTTTATTTGGATCCCGTGCTACCTATTCTAGTTCACAATCAGTTACACTTTGGAAGGATCAATAAGCAATCAATCTGTTGAAAGCTAACTTTTAAATGAAGATGTACGATGACTGAAATAATTGACGGCTCATTTATCTTTGTGCTCTCTGTATCTTAGTAAACTTATGTCTGAATATTAGCAGAGGTATACTTACTGACTTAAAAAGGTTCTTCATGGCTTGATTACCAACACCAGCTCTCCATATCCGTTCGCAAGTGTAACCTTAACTCAGAAAGTGGAAGTTGAGCCCACGGGCTTAGCATCGGCGTATTTACTGAGAGAGGTAGTCTCGAACCATAACCTGCGGTCAAACGTCAATCAAGCGTAAGCGATTCAATTTTGTGGATCGTGTGGTTGTTAGGGAGAATGGAAGGAGTATTTTGGTTGCGTCACAATATAATTTACTCGATCCCCCTCTAGGGCTCTGTGGTGTTCTTCGTATTATCCCCCTTATGAGATGTTCACTTTCAAATACTCTTAACGATGCGTTGCGTTTTTTCCGTATTAATCTCACTATAAACAACTGGTTTCTGCTCTCTCACAAACAAGGGAGGGGTGAACTGAAAATTCTCGCACACCTCATTGATAATCAATTTTCTTTGGCGCTCCTTTTATTAACCACCGCGCTTAACAATAAAAGCGTCATGAAAAGTTGCGAACGACGCGTTTCCGACAGCTTATGAATTATGATCCGTCCCTTAAAACCATTCTTTTGAAATATCTTTCATTTATGACCACAGAAATAAGCTCAGACTAAGCATGCTTGAGGCAAAATGATTAATTGATAGAGCGTGACTCTAAAGCAGTTTTCTCGGTGTCTAAATCAACCAATGGATGTTTAATTCCTTCTTCATAACCTTGACCAAGAGAATATCAATTCTCTTGCCTTGGCTAAATAATGTTGTTTTTGGTATGCAAATCAATTTTTATAAAAATCCAATACCATCCAGCTGTTAGTTCCAATTATATTTGACGCGCCAAAAAAATAACAGTCGTAGTCGAGTAACAAAACATTTAATTTCTTATTAAATCAAAAATTGAAAAAGAAAGGAGAGATTTCTTCTAATTCCTACTTACATAAATATTCATTTTCAATTGTATTTACAACAACTCAAGATCAATTGATCCGGCGAAAAAGACAGGAATCCTTATATTAAACGGTTGAAATGTCAATTATGAATATTTTCTAGAATTTCTATACGTGCTTTACATATATTTTTTGTAAGTAAACTGTTAGCACCTGCTTCTTTCCACCAAATAAAAAACACATTTTGGGGCGTTTAATCACGTTCCAATTGCGAATCACTAATTAATATCTCAGTTCGAAACCAGAGAATACATCCTCTTGTTCGAAACCCCATGCAAATAATACTAGCTATGCGATGAAAAATAAATAGGATAAAATCTCCTTATTTCAAAACAATATAAATACTTTTAAAGGCTGAGTACAATGTCGGGTGATGATTAACAAATTAATATACGTCGCATTAAACCAATTTTGAACAATTGTAAACAGACCAATATGAATTCAAAGAAAATGAATAAGCAAAATAAAGCATGCCTAATGTTGTGAAGGATTTATGAACTAGTAAATGCATTATCGAGATATTTTGATTTTTTGGTGAATAAGTGAACTGATCTTTCTAATAGGAGGTCGTGCACGACCATTTTTGCTCTTAGTACTCCCGTTGTCGAATAAGTATTCCAACACTTTCTGAAATATGTCCTCAACGTTTTCGTTCAGCTTGGCTGAACAGTCGAACCAATGGCAACCATATTTGCCCTCTAAATACATCCCTACGCTAATATTTAAACCTCGTTTGTCCACAAACTTTGGTGGCGACAAGTGGGAGAGGTCCGATTTGTTTGAAATCACCACAACAGGTTTGTCACTCTGCGTGGCGTTGTTACTCTCCTTAATTTCGTCCATGTAGCGTTCGATCTTTGTAAATGATTCTGGTCGGTCCATAGAATAAACCAAAACAATGGAGTCTGCTTTTTCCATGTCAACGCGTCTCATGGCTGGGAATTCATACGTTCCTGAGGTGTCGATGATCTGAAGTTCACAGGTTTTGTTCTTGTAAGCTAAATGCTTGACGTGAAAATCTTCAACAGTGGGTAGATGTTCGTGATTGAACGCTGTTCCCACAAGTCGACTGATAACAGATGTTTTACCGACTCCGGAGTCTCCAAACACCGCAATGGTGAACTTTTGCAAATAGGTGGCTTTTTCTTCGTTGTGTTTCGCCATGGTACGCGAGAGAGTACGCGGGAAAGTCAGTGCTCACTCGGCGTGAGATTTGGGTAGAAAGGTACTTTAAGTGACAGGTCTCGACGTCACCTTCAACGGGCGGAAGCTAATGGCTGGGTGAAAGATTGATCCAAATATTAACTGTCGCTACGTCGCTTTTACACTTCGATTACAACGAAAGCGGCGAGTTCACCCCACGTTCCTTTTTCATTCAAAATATGCGACTTCTGAAACGGAATTGCTTTTAAGGGTAAATGTTCATGGCAGGTGGCACAATCGACTAATTTCATTGCAACAGCGATTCCACGCTTGAGGCCGAGAAGGCATTTAAAACAGTTGTACATTTGCATATGTCGGACAAAGCACTGTGTACAAACAATAGCGTTTGATTTCTTTTATTTTTCAATCCTTTCCAAGGCTGTAGTTGTTAAGAGTAAATCTGTTACTTTACAACAGTGAAAAGTCTTTTCTCGTTTCCACATCTCATGTTAAGTTATTAGAGCCAGTTGTAGCCGTCACAGTTCAAGTTTCTCATGAAAGAGTTCATTAATTAAAAAAATGTATTTGTACTTAGAACAAACAAATGTGCATTTACACTAATTAAAGAACTACAATAAATGTCTTTATCCGACTCAGTCAGTTAATCCGTCAAGGAAGAGGTAAATTATAGCGCGGGTTGTAAAGCAAAACCTTTATTTGCGTTAAGCCTGCCACGAAAATGATCTCCCAGTTCATGTTAGTCGGTTAGGGAGGAATAAAGTTTTCCTTAACTCAGCATGTGTTATTACTCAGCGAACCGGATGTCAGATTTACGCTTAAATCAAATTGATTGCATAACATTCTATAATACCTTTCTTCGTCCATTAGTGCAAACTTAAAATTTAAAGAAAACATTATTGCAAATTTAAAGCTTAGAGATTCAAACACCAAATGCTAACACTAGGAACAGTAAATCAAAATGAATGAGGTGCCATTACACATTGCAAATATATCGCGAAAGTTTGTTTCGACGTCCAAAAAAACGATTTTGGAAAGAGATCAACACCTTTTCGCCGCAGTTTTACCATAAACGGATTAAGATAATGTTTATACGAGGGAAGTGTAAGTTTATGTCCAAATTACCACAAACCATGATATATAATATACCGATAAACTCTCTGAAATCGTCAACGCGTACAAAACATAGGCATGCGCAGCATGCGAGTTATTTTTTATACTGGGTGGGTTGAGATGAGACAGTTTGTGTACTTAATGTTTTCATTTTTGTCACCAAAAAGAGCATATTAAAAGAGATTTCTTAAAAGATAAAACGGTAAAAACGAACGATAAAATCCGACGTTTCGGAGTAGTCATGACTCCATTATCAAGGTAAAAGTTTAAAAACATGCAAATAACAGTATTTAAGCGATGTGGCGCGAAAAATTAACCAAAAGTGTCTTGGGAGGTTTGTGTACTTTGCGCTGGATGTAATTCAGAGCTACGGATCGTAGGGTTGCGGCCGTAGCTCTGAATTACATCCAGCGCAAAGTACAGAAACCTCCCAAGACACTTTTGGTTGCCATCGAACAACTGAAACGACGTGACGACATCGTCATCACCAAACCAGATAAATGATCGGGAGTAGTTGTAATGAATAAGTCTGAATATCTGCGACTATTATCCGAAGCTTTCATCAATGATTCCAGTAAATTTCAAGCTGTTCCCCTGGAAAGGCCCTCGAGTAAAGGTAGACCGCCAACATATTACCACCCCCTCCTAAAGAAAGAGAAAGATTTAGACGCCATTGTTCGTAGAATTCTGCCTAAGTCCATAGCAGATACTGTTCGTCCTACAGGTTCCAGATTAGCGCATTTGTACGGCTTACCGAAAACACACAAGGAGCGCTTGGCGATGCGCCCTATACTATCAGCAACGCAAACTTACAACTATGCACTGGCGAAATGGCTCGACACTAAACTTAAGCCTCTCTCTCTGAATCGCTACACAGTAACTGACATTTTTGAATTTGCCGACGAAATTCGCGAATTGGAAATATCAAACGGCGACATTCTGGTTTCTTACGACGTGTCCTCCCTCTTTACCAACGTACCCTTGGATGAAACAATTGAGATACCCGCGAACAGAGCTTTTGACCTGAACCTGACCAAAACGGACCTTGTTGACCTTCTCAGTGTAGCTACAAAAGGACAACTCTTCCAGTATAATCGAGCACTTTACGAACAGACGGATGGCGTGGCCATGGGTTCCCCCCTTGGTCCCCTGCTAGCTAATGTGTTCATGTCTTCAATTGAAGAAAACCTCGAGCGAGAGGGTAAACTTCCTTCCTTCTATCGAAGGTACGTTGATGATACACTTACTATCATGCCAAATATCGCAACAGCATCTAACTTCCTGGACACTCTTAACAAGGCACATTCTTCCGTAAAATTTACGATGGAAACCGAATGCAATGGCATGCTCCCTTTTTTGGGCATCCAGTTACTGAACCGATCGCCCCGAATAGAGACAAAGGTGTACGTAAAAACCCACGAATTCAAGTCTCCTCTTACATTACCAAAGTCACGTTGACAATCGGTACAAACAGGGTTTACTCCGAACTATGCTAGGCCGAGCACATCGTTTATCTTCTTCTTGGTCACACTTCTCAGACGAATGTGACCGATTGAAGACAGTATTCTCGCGTTTAAAGTACCCCAAACACCTCATCGACTCTGCCACCAAAAATTTCGTTGACTCAAAGGTTTGTGACCAGCAGCGACCATTATTACCAACTAAAGAGACGGATGACACAATTCGAGTGGTTCTACCATTTAAAGACCAAACCTCAGCAAATTTTTTGAAAGGACAACTCAAGGATCTGAGCCTAAAAGTGAACACCAACATCCAGCCCGTATTTGTCAGCCGAAAAATTGATCAAGAACTGAATGTGAAAGAAGCAAAGCCATCGATCGTAAATGAACAGTGTGTTGTTTATAAATACCAATGTGACCTGTGCGATGCAGGTTATATAGGATACACACGCGGACATTTACACAATCGTGTAAAAGGACATAAACAACAGTCCTCAGCCATTGCCAAACATTGCAAGAACGTACACGGGACGATTCCTCAGGACCTACTGAAATGCTTCGAAGTTCTTAAGAAGTGCAGGAACAAATTTGACTGCTTATTGTACGAAATGCTTCATATAAGAACTTTAAAGCCAAACCTGAACGTGCAATCGGACTCTATTCGTGCGAAAGTATTTGTATAATCTTCGCACCTATTATGTTAATTTTTCGCGCCACATCGCTTAAATACTGTTATTTGCATGTTTTAAACTTTTACCTTGATAATGGAGTCATGACTACTCCGAAACGTCGGATTTTATCGTTCGTTTTTACCGTTTTATCTTTTAAAAAGAGCATAACTTTCAAAAAACGAAAAGATCACAGAGAGACAAAAAAAAAAGCAAATTTATCTGAGCAAACACAGATAATATATGGTAATACGTTGTTTGGTCTCGTCACACAACGCCCTCCATCTCCCGTTTAAGAGAGAGTGTGCTGCTGTTCCTCCAACAGAGAGAAAATCAAAATTATTCGTCTACAGTTAGTTACCTCAAAAATGTAATTCCGCGTAATTTTACCACGAAATGCAAACTGAACCTCTGTTGTACCTCAGATAAGCCCTAACCAAGGATATATTGCGATCTCGAATAAGTGAAGATACACTGAACAGGAGAAAAGGAGAATATTACAAAGAGAAGGTTTGAGCTGCAACTTTAGTTTTTTCCTCGAACTCCTCGAGGATCTTGTCCGGAATGTATCACGATAATATTCAATGCTCAAGCACTATTTCAATCTCCTGCTGCCTCGAGGGAGCGTTGTAGCGCTCTTTTGTATTACCAAGCTGAGAGAAAAGCTAGAAGTAGACTTAACACACTGAAACAAACTGAAAAGTCTTTATTTAGTTATTTCCTGGCGATTTATAGGTAACATTTCTAAATTTCGAGACCATTACGCGTGTCAATTGCACAATAATGAAAGGTGTTGTTGGAAATGAGTCCAAAATAGAACCGAGGGCCGCAAAAAGTCCAAAATAGAATCGAGGGCTGCAAAGAGTCCAAAATAGAACCGAAGGCCGAAAAGAGTCCAAAATCGAACCAAGGGCTGCGAAGAGTCCAAAATAGAACCGCGGGCCGCAAAGAGTCCAAAATAGAACCGAGGTCCGCAAAGAGTCCAAAATAGATCAAGGGCGTTTAGGATGCTAGCTGGCGGTTTTTCGTGCGCTTTGAAACTTCACATTTATAACATAATTGTAACTATCAAATTACTTGTCCAGTCCCACACTTGCAATACTATAGAAAACCATATCGAAAGCTGAGGCGAGCCGGTCTGGAAAAAGCTGTCCGGCCTTGGAGCCCGTTTTTGGAGGTCCTGGTAACTTAACGGGGCTGGTAAAGCTGAAATTTTTTTAATTCCAGATGGGGAACGGGTTTCGAAGGTTTTAAAAACGATACAAAAAAAACTATTGGCTAAAGAAACAAAATGGGCCAGCGGGTTGGGGTTTTAAGAATTGCTGATACTCTTATTGTATAATTTTCAAAACTTCCCAAACCTCCATCTTTGATGAAATCAGCATAGATTTACGAGCCCGTTCATCTATCGGGACTTTCGATAAACAATCGTACAGCTTCGTTTCAAAAAAAAATAAACAAACATTGCTCGCAGGTGTTGCTGAAAAATTAGTGACAGTAGTGAACAAAAATGAGAAACTAAATGAAATGCTTATTGACTGAGTTAGGTCAGTAATTTAGTATTATCAACGGAGGTGAGTCTAAACGGTTCGGAAAGCCGCAAAACTCTAAAAATAAAATTTATTTTTCAAATCGGAACTCTTAATCCCCAGGGTATCAACAAGCGCTTTTTATTCAACTAATTTGTTCCCGTTTTCTCGTCACTATATTCCAACCAATGGCATAGTTCCATGTTCTGCATAGGAACGCACACACAACCCACAATTCCTCCAATCGCTCTCGATCTGACGAAGAGCTATCGCTCGAAACGTCAGCTTGTAAACTCTTGACGATGGCCAAATTTAAATTACGTTATCAACTCGGTTGATGATACTAAATTACCCTGTTAAACTCTCCCACCGACGCAGCACCACAGTTTCTTTGGAAACTCACCCCCTTTATTCATGAGTTAGGTCAAGCTTGACGTAAAATAATTGGCTCTAGTTCATGACGCACCGACCTCTCTGCGCTCGGTTCCGTACGTCAAGACCTTGAGCCACATATTATCTCGTTTGGCCCTCCCATTCAGTCAATAAGTTACAAATTAACACATGAGTCAAGGAAATCTGTACTCTTATGTAAAATTTATGGATGAGTTAGCTGACACAGAAAGAAGAGACATAGGAGCGTAAGAAGCTTAAGGCGATTACGATAATTTTTATGCAGAGCGAGGGAGGGAGGGGGAGGGAACGAGGGAGTCATGAGTCAGGTTGCGACCCGACCCAAGTCTCCCTCGGTTTTTACTCCTCTATTGGTACTGAACAGCTTCCCATGCTATGGCGCTTCCATTTACCAACTGAACGCTTAGAACATGCTATTTTCTACACGATCTGACAGGAACAATCTCCTTGTGTTAAAATAGGTGGTGAATATCAAAACTGTCCTTATAATGCATTAGATCCATCGTTTAGTCCGCAGATTTAACTTCGGTGGGCTGACTACCCCTGCAAGGTTTTTTTTTCCCCTCGAGATCAGATGTAAGGAATTTTACAACTTCCCAACAGTCCCTGGAAACATTGACCTGCCAGCTAGCTCTCCTTGGGAGTACTGTCCCGCAAACAAACGCCCTTCACGGAGGGGGCACGGTGCTACTTTTGTCTTTTCGTGGTCTCTCGCGCGTCGTGTTCATTCCTCGAGATCTGAGAAACGCGCGAGGAGACGGCGGCTTTCTTATTCCCATTGACACTTTTCCACACCTTTTTAAGTGTATTTCATTTTTTCTGTGTAAATTTAACTGCGACCTCTCGACTTGGTCACCCCTAGCCAGGAGAAAAGCCACCCATAGTTGATGTACGTTAGAAGAAGTACCTCCGTCGAACCCTCTTGATCTCTTCTAGCCTGCAGTGCAGGCGTCTTATTGGGGTGAGTTAACTTTAAGAAGCTCGCAGTCGTACATTAAACCAGCCATGTTTGATTTGAAAATAGAGGCAGTAGCAGTAGGGGGAGGGGGGGGGGAAGGCGAGATTTTCACCCCCACCCTAACACTTCTCCTTATTTTTAACCGTCGCTCACCCCCTTGACATAAATTTCTCTCTCTCCCCAGCCTACCGCTGCCATTAAAATCAAATAAGGCGGCCATAATTGTCGTTAAGAAAATATTAAGCACTCGCTCGCCAAAATTACGCCTAGGCTAATTTAGGCTAACCCTCTTATGGCTTTGGAGCTGGAGCGACGCGCGCGACCCTCGCCTTCGCGTGCGTTCTCAAATTGCGCGTGTTATTTTCTCGCTCTGTCATGTAGTGCGTTATCACTATGGATTAGCGCAATGCTATAATGACCCTCAACTACAAGGCTCAACTTTGAAGGAAAATGGGGCTAAGAGAAGATATGAAATCACGGCATCAGAAAGCTTTTTTTGAATGTGCATATTCACCATACCATTGTCCATAAATCCCCTTAGGTGCTGACAGTGAGTATTCGTTTTACAATCAATGGCTTCTTCAGTTGGTGATCATTTCCCTTTGTTCTCGTGACCTTAATGAGTAACTCTGGAACGATATTGTCAGAAGATATAGGATGCTAGTTACTCGTAAGGGCCAATTGGCGAAACTAGCTATTGGCCGAATAAAAACAACCGGTAGGGCAAAGTATGCTCTCGTGCGCGGGTCTCAGCATGGAACCTCTGATATCAGATTAAATAAAAATACCTCTAAAAACATACCACGAGGACAATGTCCATCACTATAAAAAGCTTATCTTTAATTTCAGTATAATTCATATAAACAACTGTCGTTCAAATTATATTATTTTCAGTCATAATTTGCATCAATTTCGGGGAAAATAAACTTCTGAGAAATTGATGATTCAATATTGTTAATTGATTAACACACTAAGGTGGCTAGGATAGTATTTGGCTTGTTATTTGAAATATGCTTCTGAAAACTGCCTTGATTAGGATTATGACATTTTATGAAAAGAGCGAGTAGATTTTCAAACGAAACAGGGTAATTTGAAACTCTAGATAGTCAACAATGATTTGTCTTGAAAGCATTTGAAAAAAAAACCAAATAGCTTAATTTCTGTGCATCCACGAATGCAGCAAACCTTAGGGTTATGATTAGGTTTATGACATTTTATGAAAAGAGCGAGTAGATTTTCAAACGAATCAGGATTATTTGAAACTCTAGATAGTCAACAATGATTTGTCTTGAAAGCATTTGAAAAAACAACAAATAGCTTAATTTCTGTGCATCCACGAATGCAGCAAACCTTAAAGCCAAAAACAAAAATATCGTGCAACGTGAACGACGCTCCACGCAAGGAAAACAAACATTTTAGCGACGTAGATTCATATCATACAGCTGTTGAAAGCCTACTCGCAGAAACTAAGTGAGACCGGCAGTCATTTCAAAATTTTACTTGGATTTCCGCCGTAAGCTGTTAAGTATAGGACTCCTTTTTAACCATGAGCTACCTTTAGTTGGCAATGTTTGTGCTCTTCGGGCGTAGAATGCATCAATGAGTCCATGGACCATGTCCTCGATACCCCACGCCATTTTGGCTGAAGTTATCGTCCACAATACGTTCCATTCCTTCTCAGCGACATATTTAGTGTTCACCAAAGATCCATCATTCATTTTCATTTCTAAAGCATGTCCATCTATGACGACGTCTGATTTGTTCGCTACAACCATAACAGGCAAACCAATGCCTCGTTCTTGAAAGACTTCCTCTCTTAGCTCACGAAGCCGCTCAAAAGAGCGCGGATTGTCCAGAGAATACACAAGCAAAATGGCGTCTGCCTTGTTGATATCCACTTTCCGCATGGCTGGGAAATTCTCTGTACCACAAGTGTCTATGATATCCACTTGGTAATTTTTGTCGTTGTAGACAATCTGCTTGGAGTAAAAGTCTTCTATGGTCGGTTCATAGTCATTTTTAAATGTCTCTCCAAGGAAGGTCCGAATTAAGGATGATTTTCCTGTCCTAGCTTCCCCGAAAACTGCTACGGTGAATTTTTTCAAGTACGTTGAACTACGTTTCTTGACTGCGGCTATTCTCTCTTCTTTAACTTGTTTCTTCATTCTCAGTAACGTTCGTGGAGCGTTATTCTGTTCCTCTGGATAGGCTTGAGCTCGCCTTGAATAAGCAAACAGGCGAAGCAAGAGTTTAGAATATTGTGATTTTGATTACACAACACTTGTCCTATTCGACCGCGCGATAATCCTCTTAAATCAGCTGCCAACAATTTCGTCACGTGCAACACAACTCAACGGGGGCAATCTTAACTTGGTAAATCCTGACTAACTGTACTGCTGTATCAACAGAGCATTTACCTTTATGTAGGAAATACGGCGACGACTGCGCCAGATATACAGGACGTGAAGATAGTGACGACAATAGGGTTAAAATTTCATGGTATTCTAGAATAACACGAAGGAGATTATTTTTCATTTCTGCGCCCACAATTTGTAGACCTCATGCACTGCAGGAAGTAGGAGCGGTTTTGGACCTGACAAGACTGTTTGTGTAACGGCTTGTCAATCTAAACCACCTAAACTGACATGTCAATTAAGTATATACTTTCAAAGGAGGAGAAAAAAAAAACAAAAAAAAAAAACAAACTGATAGCAAAGTTACCTCATACTGCCTCTCCACTCCACTTAGGACCGGTGTCTAACAGATGCGCGACCTTATCTTAACCACCAGCTAAACCGTACGTGAAATACAGACAAAGCGGAATGGAGCTGTTAAAGCTTTCGAAACGCACTCAATTCGATGAGTCATGATCGAGTTGGTAAAATTTGAAAAAATTTCCATAATTCCAGCCTGATCTAATGGCATATCTCTATAGTTACGTCTGTCTGTGTTTTTGAAGATTATTTCCTCGAGCGTGACGTATGAATGTAGTCGATATATGGAAAACAACCAACGATGTTATTTCAACCATTTCACCCTTGTGAAATCTCCGTAAGAGGTTAATGCGGTTAAGCTTTGGAGCAGCCCAAGTCAATTACAGTTAATTGACGCTAATTTCGAAATATCCTGGTTAAAATTGCTGAAGAGTAATGAGTTACAAACTCTCGGAATCTGTCAGCTATTCGTAGAATTTTAAGAATCTTATCATGAGGCCATCACTTGAGAGGCGAATAGTGCTTTTTGGGTTTAATTGTGACCGTGAAGTCAGGCATAGTGTGTTTATTTTTAAACATCATTTTCAGTCATGTACAGTTCATTCCAGAGAGCGCTTTACTCTTGATTGGAACTCGTGGTCGGAAAACGGAAAAATTGTTTTTAATAACTGTTAAAACGTTTTTAAAAATCCCACAAACACGGCATACGGAAATCCTTGAATTTTAGTCTTCCTATACCGAGCCCTCGGTAATTCTTCGGTCGTAACGTTCGGTGTTCGATAAATTATTGCAATTTCCGATCCGAAACATGCCGAAGCTGAGCCTTCTCCACGCGAAGTGTTTAGTAAATTGGACAAATTTTCGAAACCACATTAATGACTGAAAATAATGTCCAAAGTCTCTCCGGGAAATGTTTTGAAATTCTGGACTGATTGATTACGACAACACCCTCATGCGATAAACTTTATTTCAAAATAAACTTGGTACACAAACGGTGATCAAGTTTCTAAATTTACAGGAATCCAGGATTGATTTTACAACTAATAAGGTTACTATGAGAGCAAAGTTTAACTCAATTTTTGGTATAAAAACGAGATTTAATCACGTTTGGTGTTTTTGCTTCATAATATGGATCAGACATGAATTGAAAAAAAAAAAAAAAAAAAAAAAGTAAAATTGAATCAAGCTCCTATTGATATTTTTAGGGTTTTCAAGAGTAATTAACCTAGGTCAACTTCTCTCGGGAAACGACATTGAATTCCGAAATAAGCGACAAACAACCACGTCCCGGCCAGCTTCCTGTAAACATCTTTCTTAAATTTGCTGACGGGCTTTTCGAGGTAGGCCCCAGTCTTGCGCCAAAGACTCAAAGTACGCAAAAAGCCAATTGTGTAGCCATGATCGTAAACAAACCTGATGAATTTTTTTACAAGTGACTATCGTCCTCTGAGACACACGATCTGGTTCCAAGATTTGGAGGTTTTTGTTGAGGACCTATGCTAAATTTGATATCTACTGTTTTCAAAAAATATACTAGTCGACTCCGGACCCTAAATATGGTCCACAGACCCCACAAACAAAATAGGAAGCGTGTGAGAGATCCTTTGACTGTTGAGGCAAAGAGCGTGTCATAAATAACTGAAATAGAACTTAAAAAGGATTTACATTTACGTATTTCAGATCAATATCTAAATAATAGAAAGCAGATTTAGATCAAAGCTCCTGCGACATGCACAGCTGACTAAAGGTCTCGTTAACCTGACTTCCTGACGCCACGTTCTATTACTTATGAAATACCGTCCTTGTCCAAGAGAGCGAAGAAAAACTTTAGATGTAAAGAATTGATAAAAACAATTTATGCCTAAGATATATGGTTTTCGGAGCTCGCCGGGTGACGATGATCACCAATTACCTTGTTAACAAAACATCTGTCATGCATACGTGTCCCGAGTGTGTCAAGGTATCGATAGATAATCCTGTCAGGCAATAACGAAAGTCACGTTACGTAACCAGTAACAAAATGCAGGTTGAGTGGAACTTTAAGACTTCGTTTTTTTAAAATCTAATTTCCATTTTTTCTAAGTGGGTTAACTTTGTAACAAGATTCTAAGATATTGATACCTCATGTTGTTATCGATAACAACAATAACGAAAGTCACGTTACGTAACCAGTAACAAAATGTAGGTTGAGTGGAACTTTAAGGCTTCGTTTTTTTAAAATCTAATTTCCATTTTTTCTAAGTGTGTTAACTTTGTAACATGATTCTACGATATTGATACTTCTTGTTGTTATCGTTTTTGAATTCACTGCAGTCAGAATTGAATTACCAGTAAAACGTTAATTATAAGGATTTAAATGTGGAGAAATTTGTGTTTTGAAAATACTAATCTAAAACTGGAAAAGGTTTGTCATGAGGATTTACATCTCAGTACACAGTACAAAAAGACAATCTCTTAAAAACGCGCTGAAACGAAACCCTCGCGTCACTTGTTAAGCGGTTTAAATTTATGATATTTGAACGGAAAAAATAATGATACAGAATTATAGGTGTGCATTCACGATAAATTCGATTACCTTAAATGCCTTTTAGGCCAGTTTTGAGTTCTATACTTTCATTAAAACTTCATTATGATACGTTATAAAACTTCGATCTTAGTGTAAGGAAAACAAGCCAACATTTAGCCAACCCAATAAACTATTGCACCGACTGACTTAATTTTGTTTTTTTTTTTGTCGACTTTACAGGTTGACGCTTGGTTTGATCGCCCATGATGTGAGTACACTGGCGCGTTTTCCGATGTTCCTCTTGGTTGTGCGTGCCCTCCAGTCCATACTCATGCCACCCATCACGCGTGCATACGCCTGGCCGAGAGCTAATTGTCATTGAAAGATTAATCGTTTGGCATCGTTCGGGCATGAGGAATAAAAGGTTAACTGCATGAGTAATTTGTTAAAAAAAAGGAAAAAAATCGAGATTCCTGACTTAATGATGGAGGCAAAATGAATCACAGATGGCGCAAAGACTTTTTCTGTCCTAGCCTCGTGTCATTAGTCACCCTGTGTTTGTTTCGTTTTCATACCATTCAGGCTTAGTTTCTGATTTATTTTTAGCGAGAGGATCCAGTTATCACTCACTTTTTTGTGTCTTCATTCATTTTGATTCGATCTAATGCCTGATTTCAAGTTATAAGATCTTATTTTCCCTGAGTATTTCAATGAAAAAACGAAACAAAAACAAAAAAGAAAAAAAAAAGATCCTGAAGCAAAGTGTTTCTGCTGACTTATTCCGCAATCCCGGATAAAATTGCACTGATCATGTTACGATCGTGTATAACGATGATGCAACAATTTGTTTGCCTCGCAGCGCAAATTCTCAGCCCGGCCAAAAGTGTACCCCTTGAGTTGAGATCGCCAACTCATGAATGTATGCGGTGATTGAAAGAGGTAAAAATTCCAGCTGTCAGGTTATGAATTATATCTTAAACATTTCCTGGCGTCTGCCTTCAAGATAGCGTGAGTTACATTTTTTACGCATTTGGATCAGCTGTTCTATAGATAGAACCACCCACGGGCTCACGAAAATAAATTCCGTTGATGGGCGAGTTCAGCCGACAGACTATCGATTCACGCGCGCCTTTCCGAAATGGTTTCCGACTCTCTGCTCGGAACCGAAATCGTGAAGTGTTTAAATTTTGGCGGAAATCAAAGGGAAAAAGATCGAGTAAAAATTTTGTTATTCCTGTGATTTGTTCATTTTCGCCACGTTTGGTATTTTTGGACGGGAAAAGCGAAAGCTTGCTTGCAGAAAAGTTTCAGCTAAATCAGACTTTCATGCGAAACATCACGTAGTAGTTTGTCCAGGCTACTGCCCCCTTCTACTGAAATATAACAAGGGTCCTGTTCGCGGTTTAGTTATCGCATTTATCATTTGACCCTTTGGCACTAGGAAGAACTTTTGGTTAAGTTTATTTCCAAACGTGCGAGCCTTTAGACATCTGTTTTCAGTTGAGCTGATCCACGTACAAGTTTTGTCTTAGATTTGGACACGTAGGTGATCTTGGGCATCGATCCCAAATCAGGCGTCTGCGGTCACGTTTTGGGGAGATTTTTTCTTTTTTGCATTTATGTCAAATAAGTTGAATATTTTGTTAACCTCTGAAGGCGAATGCAATCGTATTGATCAGTATTCTTACCTTCTCCGAGATATAAAAATTCCTCTTTATTGATCGAGAATATCTTACACGAAACATCTTGCATATTACTCAACATGAACCGTAATCAAGGAGATTTATAGAAGGGTTGATTCACTGAAAAGACTTGAGCGTGGTACAGTAGCTGCGTCACAAACCGAATTTTCTCGAAAAGGCGCCAGAGGGCCTTTCGGTCAATATTTGTTATCTGAGCTCGATACGTCTGAAAGGAACTGAACTCAGGTTCACGTGAGTTGTTCATAAAGAAGTACTTAAAGATATCGCTATGTACTTTATAGACCGAGGAAAATGTGTTTTATCAAAAAGCTCCAATAAAGCAAGATTCGAGTTTCCGAATTCTAACAGTCTTAGTGCTATTTCGAACTCAAGGCCATGCACTCCCCTTATCAGTTAAAAATGCATGCCATAGTTGGGCTGCAATAAAGGAAGCTAAGGGAATGATGATGGTGTAGATGTTCCACTTAAATCGTGATCATGATTTACCGCTTGGTACGGGAAAATAGGTGGGAGAAAAGTGTCAACCGTGTAGTACCCTTCTCGCACAAGGATTCTCTTGTCCAGTGTGCACTAGTGTGAAAAGATCTTCCCCCCTTTGATGCTTGGAACTCTGGAACTCGGAAAAGAACAACCATCCCCTCCGAAAAGGTACGCCAAGCTTCTCAAGATCAAATGTATCGCGCGAGTAAACGCGCGAGGCAACTAGGAGAATCGTGAGCTCCCAGTATACCCTTCGGCATGCAAAAGTTATGATGGCGGAAAATATTATAGATATTTGGCATTCATCGGTATTTATAATGACACTCGCGAAATAATCTTTCCTTGCTTCGAACAATTTAACCATGTCCACTAACGAAGGAATATCTCTCGCCTCGGTGCGGGATTTTTTAGTTAAGAACGACGGAAAAGTGAAAAACACAGATTTAG